AGTGATATCTTGCAGCTCCCTGCCCTCTTCGACCTCCTTGCGCAGCTTATCTTTGGTAAGAAGTGCTTCGACAAGTTGGGTCTGCTGGGCATCTCGCTCTGCGGTGCAATAACTGAGCTGTTCCCGAGCATGGTCAAGCTCGGACTTGAGAGATGAGATGATAACTACATCGGAGCTCTTGATTTCCTTGATAGCATCGGCGCCTTCTTTGTCGAGAGCAGAGAGCTGGGCTTTGGCAGCAAGAAGTTCGCGACCTTGATCAGCAACTTGAGCAGAGAGATCCTTCTCCCGCTTCTTAGACTGTTCGAGCTCGAACTCGCACTGCATGAGTGTTTGCTTGATGTTAATAAATGCTTTCGTCCTGTAGAAGTCGGAAGTAAGTATGTGTGTTCCTTCAGGAGAGCAAGCCTCATTGATGGCTTTGACTAACCCTTCGCCGGTCATGTTGTTGATCAGAGCCTCCATTTGATCATGAAGAACAGCATGCTTTTCGAACATATCGTTGTAGTTCTTCTGGATATGAGCACGCTGCCGCTTCTCTTCGTCAAGCTCCCGACGGAGTGGAGCAGTGTCTCCAGAACCAACTGTGCTGCGCAACAAATCGTTCTCAGCCTTGAGGCGAGACAATTCAAGGGGAAGGTTAACTTGGCCAGGCTGGGTATCCTCGTTAGCTGCGTCGTTAAGCTCGTCTTCAAGACTGGATGCCATGCCCAGAGCACCAGGCACTGCATTCTGAGTGCCTTCGCCGCTCTCAAGCTGCTCCTGGAGATCCTTGATGAAGTTCTCATCATGGACTTGTCTTGCTCTCAGACGAATCACCTCGTCCTCAAGCCCCGCAATGTCTTTCATTAGCTGGTTCTTCTGGCTGCGTTCGTCCCACAGATGCTGCTCAGACTGAGTAATCATTTTGGTCAACTCGTCTTCTGCTTTCCTGGTGCGAGCGCCCCTGTCTTGATCATCCAATAGGATTCTGATCTGATCTTGTAGCTCAGTCTTCTCGTATTGGAGGTTTTGTACTTCTTTGACAAGATGCTGCTGGGACTCGAGCTTCTGCTTGTACCGCTCTGCAGTATTGGCCTTCTTCTCAAAGTCCTCGGCTTTGTGCTTCCACTCGGTTGCTTGGTCGCGGAACTCCTCAGCGTCTTTGCACTTTTCCGTCAGTTTCATGACCTCGGCCTCGAGCTGGGATTTGATGCGTTCATCTCTGCGTATCGTTTCTTCATGTCTGGAGATGAGCTCCATTTGGTCATGCACCTGAATTTCCAGGTTCTTGATCATCTCGGCATTGTTAGCACCATCTACGGTGGCCTTTCGCAGGACCTCGAGCTCTCGGTCGTTCTTCTCCTTCTCAAACCGTAGTTCTTCATGACTTGTTTGAAGATGGTCAAGTCTTGTATAGTAGTCTGAGAGCTGTCTCTTGGTCAGTTCGAGTTGTGACCGCAAGGCTGCATTCTGCTCCTCAACGAGGAGATCAATATCTCGCGCCTCCATGACAGCGTCGATAGCTTCCTCGACATCGTCATCTCCTTGTGAGTCGTGGATATCTTGCTGTATGGTCTGAATGATTTGCATGATCTCCGCCTGAGTTTGCTTGTCGAGATTAGTGATTCGAGGGATGTAGTGTTTGCGTTGAGGGCCTAGAATCACCACACCCAGCATAACAGCCAGGATCTGGGGAATCAGTACCGACCGAAATAACGCGGGAAGAGTAAGAGGGAAAGATACCTGGCTGATCCCTTGGGCATCAGGATTCTCAGCAATGGCATGGTAATCGAACTTCTTGGCCTGGCAAGCAAGTTCAGGGACAGAGCGTCGAATGTAACGAAAAAGGCCCTTGTAGATGCTCTGGATATTGCGCTTGTTGATAAGGTAGCGGGAGGTGTTGGAATTTGTTTCGAGCGCGGACGTGTCAAAACTGGGATCTAGCTGATGTAGAATCAAACCGAGCGTGACGCCGTCGACGAGGTCTTCGTAAGATTCTACCATTCGTTTTGGCTCAAATACTCGCTTGATCTGAGGGCATCCTTGAGTGAGCGGGGAGCTAGAAGACGGTGTAGAAGGATCCAAGATGACGATGCTTACGGCTTTGATGAGCGCAGTCTGCGCGGCAGGACTGTAACCTGTCATTTTGAGAAATAATTCGGCTAGGGCCAAATTGTGGTCGAATTGGGTGGCTGTTGGAGAAGTTGCGGTTGGAAGTGATAATGATGGTGGGATTGATTATAGGGAGTTGCGTCGCGTGTCTCAAATGCAATGGTAATGATTGTATAAGAAGTCAACGGCATGTCGAGGAGGCAAAGGCCGGATCTTTTATAAGGAATTGTTATGAGGACTCCCAGAACGAATGTTCCATTGTTCTGCGATTGTCGAGGTGGTGTTCAGTGTGAACTCAAGGTCCAAGGAAGCATTGTTCTTTAACATTCGGCAAACGTTGGGCCCTTGCTGGCTCGAGCTGTACTCTATTATCAGCTTATCGATTTGGCAGGGGTATGTTCAAAGCAGGGGCCCGCCCACTCTCATCAAAGATTCAATGAATAGCGTGTTTGAACAACCAATAGTAGCTTTGTGGGGATGAACAGAGATATGTCTTTTTGTAATTGGAGGAGCCGCGATATCAGCATTGACAACCTAGGTAATATTCAGGACAAAGTCAACCTCCTGCATTCTGCACCTTGCATCCTGTGTCCTGCATCCGGCCTTGCTTAAAGTTGATTCGGTAGTTCTCTAGGTAGCCACCAGCCGGTGTGTAGGTATAGCATGAAGCCCACGTCTTCGGGTTGGCCATAGAAAACCTACGGCACCATGGCTTTGGCATAATCTTTGAATCCTCACCATTCTACCACTACATAGGTGGGTGGTAGTTACTGTCCCCTTGGATTTTTTTTTTTACTTTTTTATAAAAAAAAGGTCTCACATGACAGCCTATTGCGATAGCTTGCACGTTTGAGTGATTATGAAATTTGATTTCGGACAATATTGACTGTGGCGTTGTAGCGCACATATAGACCCCATGTGGCTGGCTACTAGGTTAGCGGTCATTTGAGACAAATATTGTCGCAAAAGTGCAATAAACTGCATGGTGAACAGGGTCTACGGTTGCCTATAAATACTGAGAAGACATGTCCGGACCAGAGGTAAACAGAGTCGCGATTACTGGGCAGCGCCAGTCACTACCTAGGTGCTGAGCAGTATTCTGAAGATTTACCTACTAAACTTGTGGGGTACTGCAAGGTGTATCTAGTCTAAGTGAAGACAGTCGTTATTCAACGCTGCCAGTCACTAGTAGTTTCACCCTAGATTATCTTATGTAAACCCAGAGCACATCGACCGACTTATGATGTTGAAATACTTATAGAACCATCGTGATGATTTTCATATCACCAAAAGCCACATATCCAACGTGGATAATAAGTCTATTTCACCCTGTCAAAGACGTGCAATAATAACGATGATATTTGTCGCGTAGCGAGTGTCCTCCTTCAAGCAATTCCGTCGCTCCTATCCTACTAACGCCTAAATCAAGGATATTCATGTTCCAACCACTGCAATGAAATATGGCCAGTTCATTTCGAAAGACTTGCTGTTGTTTCGTCTTTAATTCGTCATCTGTGTACTATGGCGTAGACCTCAGTCCGTTGTCACAACCTCGTCCTTCTCGACACGAATCTGATGGTCCTCGTGGTTAACCTGGACGATCTCGAGCGCCTTCTCGGGTGCGATGACGGAGAAGCCCCTGGTCAATATGTTAGTGTCAAATCGCCGTAGTGTCAAAAGGGCGGGGGGGATCGATCTGCCTACTTGATGATTGAATAAACATGTGTGATCTTGCCGCCAGCCTTCTTGAGGGCGTCTTTGCACTCTTCAACGATGGAATCAGGTGTGGACTCATCCTCGAACCAGACGATGGCAGACTTCTTCTGATCTACAGCGAGGACACCGGGAACAACTGCAAGCGCAGCAGCGATGAAAGGGAAGAATCTCATGTTGATAGCGGTATTAACGACGGCTTTATCAAATAAGGATAATCGGTGTTAAAAGTGATGATATTTGCCGACAAAAGTTGGTTTGACGTTAAAGCGTGGAATGATGGTTGGATGCTAGTTGCGTCAGATGCGAAAGGTGACGGGATGGTTTGAGACCTTATATGGCTGGCGGATGGCGAACCTCCTTCATACTAAGACACAGGCCCAGGCCTGCTAGTTTGCTGTCCACATACCAGACCACAGGGTGCTGCATAGATTTGGGGGATCACTGTAACAAGTTAAAGCAGTCCCAGTGGTACATGGCGCATTGACCAAGTGTCGAATTGGGCAGGTCACCCACTCTCTTCTCCCAATCGCGTTGCCGAGAATGAGGGTACCTGAATTAGGCTGGAGGACAGCTTACGGTGCTCTGTACATTGTCATACAAACGGACGACTACCTAGTAGGTACGTAAATGGCGGGACAAGTGATTATGGGTTCAAAGCAGACACATTTGACTGGTACAGTAAGACTTCTCTCGAGAATCTCTTTTTATCAGGAAACGGGCGAACATGACGTTTCGTCATCCCTACTTCAACTCACACTGCCAGGCAAGACTTGATTTCCCACACGCATAGCATGCGGGACGTCACAACAGCATATCCCTTCCATTGGACAATTATCATAGCGAGTCGATATCGCAACTCAGTGGTAGAACTTATACCAATGTGTCGTCATTGAGTTGATTTGTAGTTCGTCTCTAGACCTCTGTCTTTGTCCTTCCCCACACCATTATGGTTCAAATTCCAAGCCATGTTGGCTCTATTTGCCAATCAGACTCTACAAGTAGGTGCGGTGATAGAGTCAAGACAACATCAGACTATCGTTAATCATAGGGAAACTGGATGATTATGTTTATTAGTTTATAGCAGGGTAATTTCTCCCTAATCGTGAAACGCCGCAAATGCTGGTAAAATCTCGCCTAACTCCTTTCAACGCCGAACTCGAAGTGCCGAAGAAATCACATGTACACCGCGATCAACCTCTCGCGCCAGGAATACTATCATTCTCGCACCAGACTTCCTTGCTCTCCTGTTCAACAGCTCTCATGGCGACGGCGACATCTTCTAGCCGTGTTACAACATCAATGACACCCTGGTTGACTCGTTGGAAATATCGATCGTTGGCTTCCCGTCGTTTCCTTGCTAGAAGAATGTCCACCTCTGTCTCTTCTTCGAGCTTGTGACCCAGTCTCTCTACCCCCGTGCCACTGCTGTTGGGTCGCGAAATGCTGCTGCTTCCAACTGCACTCCTCTCGGTGCCTTCGAGGCCAGACTTTGACGTATCTCCCAACGCACCCTTCATGTTTCGAACTTCGGATCCAGTAGCAGACCCCACATGATCGAGTTGTGCCGTTTCTATAACATCGTCTGCTTCACTTCTTGCCCAAGCTTGAGCGAGAGCAATTTGAGCGGCTCGTAGGTCAGCCAGTTTTCTGTCATGATCTGGGCCAAATACATGGGTCCCTCCAGAGGCTGACAGTTCGACTTCTTCCAAGGTTGCTTGCATTTCGGACCATAAGAGATCAGTGCGATCGCCAGTAGCGCGAGTGCTCTCTGCAGGATATAATCCAGCCCGCTGAGGCACAACGGTTCCAGAACGCCCAGACTTTACAGACGGCGCATGCTCAACATTCTTCCTCAGATTTGATTGCTGTCCAATGAAAGGTACAGCCGGTGCATGAGCATTTGGTAAGGAGGTATTTGAAGCTGAAGGGGATGGATGTAGAAATAAAGAAGGGGGCGGGTCTCGTTGCCGACTTGTCGGTCGAATTAAATGAGACATTATGATTTCAGAGGCCTTCCAATATGTCGTTTGCAGCGTGTGAATAGAACTATGACTTGATCCTTGTTCGGGCTTTGAGAGTCTACTCGGAGTTGAATGAAAGCCGTATCAATAGTAAGATATACTCAATATTCCTACTGTACTCGAACTTTAAACATCAGTCCATCGCCAAGAGCTCCCGCTGCGGGTCAGTGGAGCACTTCGAGCCATCTCCCTCTTTTTCACGTGACCTTTGCATCAAATTGGTGAGTTGATTTCCTAGGGCCACCAAACCCTACCTGGAATTTTTGCTTGTCGTTTGTTCAACTTTCTGACGGTCCAGCAAATTACCATCACCAACCCGTCGTCGATACACAGACAGATCCGGTAGGTACTCCAGCAACCCAACACATTTCCCCAGCTGTTCACGATCGCCTCGACCTTTTTTTCTCCCGCATCGACAGTCGACTAACAACTTGAAGCAAAAATGGCTGGAGGCAAACCCCGTGGTCTTAACGCCGCCCGTAAGCTGCGAACAAACCGAAAGGACCAGAAATGGGCCGATCTCGCCTACAAGAAGCGTGCCCTCGGTACCGCTTATAAGTCCTCTCCCTTCGGTGGTTCTTCACACGCCAAGGGCATCGTCCTCGAGAAGGTCGGTGTCGAGGCCAAGCAGCCCAACTCCGCTATCCGAAAGTGTGTCCGTGTTCAGCTCATCAAGAACGGAAAGAAGGTCACTGCCTTCGGTACGACGAATCCCACCTGCTACGAGAGATGACGAACGGCTTGAACTAACAATAATTCTAGTCCCCAATGACGGTTGCTTGAACTTCGTGGACGAGAACGACGAGGTCCTCCTGGCTGGTTTCGGTCGCAAGGGCAAGGCCAAGGGTGATATTCCCGGTGTGCGATTCAAGGTCGTCAAGGTCTCTGGTGTCGGTCTCCTTGCTCTGTGGAAGGAGAAGAAGGAGAAGCCCCGTTCTTAAGCGAAGAGCGCGTGGATGGAAACAAAGTCATATTTCGACACGTGGAGTCTATTCGGATTGCTTGCATCGACATTACGGTTAGGGATCTGATCATGGGAGACGGGTCTGAAAAGGGAAAATAGATCACAAAGTCTTCAACGAACAAATCATGATGTGCACGATGCGTGACGAGGAATTCGGATATCAATCCCAGATCTCCATGTATGATGACATTATGATACAATTGCTATACACTGCTAGAGCTTTTCTCTAATGCTTAGTTCTCAGATTTATCCTCCTTGGATGCCTCGACATATCTGATAGCATAGTCTACACCCAGCCCTAGACTGACCACTCCGCCAGTGATCCAGCAGCCATTGATGAACCACCACCAGCAATCCTTGACATCTTTGAGATTGACTCGTTTGATCATAAGACCAAGCGTGATCATTGCTCCTCCACAGCTTCCGATAAAGAAGGCTGGCCCAGCACCTGCTGCGTACCCAGCTGCAGCAAGAAGTGATATCTGTGCAGCCGCTAATCCCGTAAGTACTTGCTTAGTCTCGGCATCATGCTTTAACGCAATGCTTTTGATCCCTGCCTTGACGTCGTCCTTGATGTCCATGTGAGCATAGATCATGTCGTACAGCACTGTCCATGCAATGTTGGAGGCATAGAGACAGGCCGCGGCAGTCAGAGCAGGTGTATGCGATAGCAAGTCAATCCCAAGTGCCGGAAACCCCATGATTGCCCCCCATGAGAAGGTGAGGCCAAGAACTGCTTGAGGGTAATATGTGACTCTTTTAGCCAAAGGATAGCTAGCCACCAGAATCAAGCTAGGGACGCCGTAGAACAGGCAAGGTAGTGGAAATTGTAGCAATATTCCCAGCCCGGTGAGAAGTTGAAATCCAGTAAAGACCAGGCCTTTGAAAGGAGTAATGGCGCCGCGAGCAATCGGCCGGAGTCGAGTTCGTGATACATGTGGATCTAGGTTCCGGTCCCAGAGATCATTGATGGTGCATCCAGCTCCTCTCATGATGAGGGCTCCGGAGAAGAAAAGGAGTGAAGTTCCAATGACAGAACCCGGACTTGTCATTGGCATGGCCATTGGAGCCGCCATGAGTGTGGAAAACAGACATGGGAAGAAGAGGTAGTATGTGCCTGCAGGTTTGTCAAGTCGAATAAGCTCAGCATAGGGCACCCAAGATGCTGGAAGCTTGGCCAGTAGTCCTGTCTCTGGTGGTTTGTAAGGTGCTGGTGCTGTTGCAGCTGTGGGTGAGTCTAGATCTTGAGCAGCCACGGTTGAGGACTGAGGTTTGGCTTCGTGGAACGCAACCACTCGCTGGGTGTTGTGCCACGGTTGCCTCAAGACTTTTGAAACATGAACAGGAGAGGATCGTGCTTGTAATTGCCTGTAAACTCTCAATGCTTGGCCCGAGATACCTCGACATTGAGCCCAGGCCGAAGCCCGAGGGAGTGCATTTAATCTCATGGATCAAAGTCTACGAACCTACATGGATAATGAGAACACCATCTGTTAATTGCTGTGGAAAGTCATAATGCTTACCACAAAGCCCGTGAAGTAAAATCTGATCACGAAGAACCCTAATGCCAGTCCACTCAAGCTCTAACTCCGACAGGGCTTGAATACAAAAATTGAATTATAAAGTGAATAATCCTTGCATCTCTCTACCTATACTTCCGTGGAGTGAATTGGCCAAGCTTGGAAGGGATGTGAGATACGGGTTGATCACGTGTAGCGCTTTCTGTCACCTTCACGCTTTTGATTGGCCGCGCATTTCAACATCACACCTAAGCTTGTGATGCGACTAGGTAATCGCAAGTCGCTTGGAATTTCGAGATTCCCAAACACATATCTATTCATCGTTCAACAAATACAGCCAGCGAATATTTCGCATCGAATGGGAGCGGTCCAGGGCGAACGGCTTTCGGCCTGCTTCCTTGCACCAAAAGAACTTGCCATAGAGTCACCTTCACCACCGGAATCTGTTGCGATATCGTCTCAAGCACAACCCCACCAGAGCTATGCACACACGTAGCACTCAAGAAGCTCGACATAATGCCGACATCACTGCATCCGCAGGCAAAATTCGATGCTATACCCCCTGATCTAGACTTGTATAGTCTAGTGGACAAGACCTCTAACTTCCAATGGGTTCAGCGCGTTTCAAGAAGTCAAATACGCAGCCTTGGTCAACAGGAGTTTGAGAAGCTTGTGTTGATTCACGTTATCATCGGCGGCAAGCCTCTGATTATTGATGGGTGGGACGGAGTTCTCCCCAAATCCCTTTTCGATGTAGCTTGGTTAGAAAAGACACATGATAAGAGACGTACGTTGCTCCATTTCCTAAAACCATCGCAGCTGCTGATTTTTCTACAGAGGAGAATGTGAGAGATATCACCGCTGGGACCGACATCCCTATGACGACGGGCCACTACCTACGATCGATGCGACAACTCGCGAACCAGTGGACCCCCGCAAACTTCCGCGACGAGCGACGACAGCGTCTCTATCTCAAGGATATCGACTGTCCTACAGAGTGGCATGATGCACTACAAAAAGTTATCCACCCGAATCTGTTTTACCTAAACGAGAACGCCAGCCAGGCTGGAGGCCCACAACAGGTGGAAACCGCATTCCGTGATGAAGCTGCAGCAGCACCAGCCGGTGACCTGATGTCAAGCTTACCAAAGGAGATGCGCGCCCAAAATCTCATGTGCTATGTTGGACACGAAGGTACATACACCCCAGCACATCGTGAAATGTGTGCATCGCTAGGCCAAAATATCATGGTAGAAGCATCGAGCGGCGAGAATGGTGAGAAAACAGGCAGCTCAATCTGGTTTATGACGGAAAGCAAAGATCGTGAGGTTGTGCGCGAGTACTTCCTCTCCATGTTGGGCCATGATATCGAAATTGAGAAGCACTTTGCTCAAATCAACGCATGGAAGAAAGCGCCTTTCGAAGTGTACATCGTCGAACAGAGAGTCGGCGATTTCATTCTGATTCCGCCCCTGGCGGCACACCAAGTTTGGAACCGAGGTACTCGAACAATAAAGGTGGCTTGGAATCGCACAACTGCCGAGACACTTGAGATGGCTTTACATGAAGCGCTTCCGAAGGCTCGCCTTGTCTGTCGTGATGAGCAGTATAAAAACAAAGCGATTATCTTCTTCACTTTACAGAAGTACTACCGTCAACTCCAAAAACTCGAAGAGAATGCAGAGATGACTTCCATGAGCTTTATGGGGATTGGACAAGACACTCTCAGGAGCTCGCCTCGTGCCAAACAACTTGCCGGCGACTTTAAGAAGCTCTTTGCACTCTATACCGAGATTCTGCTTGACGAAATGTTCGCATTCAAGGAGAAGGAGGTAGAGTTGATTGAGTTCGACTCTTGCATTACTTGTTCATATTGCAGATCCAACATCTTCAACAGGTTTCTGACGTGCAAACACTGCACCCGTATGCTCGTCAGCGGTGATGAAGACACATACGATGTTTGTATGGAATGTTACGCTATGGGGCGGTCTTGCGCGTGTCTCTCAGGCTTACAATGGTGCGAACAATGGACATGGACTGATTTGGTCAATAATTACGAGGACTGGCGTTCTATGACTATCAAGAACGATGGGTTTGTTGACTTTGAGTCTTCGCCTCAGCCTCTCGAGATTGCCCGGCAGCGCTCTGCAAAGAGATCTCTCGCGCAAATTTGTCAAGAGGCCTTAAGAAGGCGGCCCTGGAAGGATATCACCCAGCCGGAACGTGAGCTTACCCCAAGCGAATCAGAGCCAGAGGTCGATGGAGAAGGAAGGCCCAAGAAAAAATACAAGAGGAAGAAGAAGCGAGGAGAGCTGCGGCGATGTCATGTATGCTGTCACAAGGACTACGCTTACCGAGTGCATCAATGCACAAACCCTGGCTGCACCGAGTCTTACTGCTATGGCGTCCTTTACAGAGCCTTTGACATGTTACCACAAAAGGTTCTAGAAGATGAGCAGTGGCAATGTCCCAAGTGCTTGGGTATTTGCAATTGCGGTTATTGCCGTCGTGTGGGCAATACAGACCCTTACACACCAAAGAATACTTTGCTGGGACATGATACACGCCCTATCGCTGACGACCGAAGTGTGGAGGCGCTTGTTGACTTCCGTATCCACAATCTCTCGTGGCTCAAGGCTGCTGGGGAGGAAAGCCGCAGTAACAACAGCAGACGAATGAAGAGACTGCGAGAGCAGGCCGACAGTGCAAAGGCACAAGATATCACAAAGCAAGAAGAAGCGGAGCAAGCTATGCAAGTTGATGCTGAGGCTCACGGAACCAGTGGTGTGCATGTATCCGGCATGAACGGTTATGGAGATAAGAGTCATGTTCTCGGTGGCCACGGCGATCAGCCCATGACCGACAACAACGTTCAAGGACTATTGCCGCGTTATCATGAAGCGAATGGCGAACAAGCCGACGAATCCATGGCTATGGATATGTCCCAGTTGGAAGATGTCGATGCATCCCTATACCCAGATCCTTCATTGGTGGCTCGACAGCGTATAGGCATGGGCTACTATGAACCAGATGACGCACCGGACAGGATTCTCTTTGATCCCTTCCAGGCACCCCCTGAGGAGGCCATACGACCATCGGAGCCGGATGTCCCTGAATTTGTAAAGAAATCCATTCGGGCGGCCAAAAGAAAAGCGAAAAGAGAGAACGAAGATCCAGATTTCGTTGTTGGCAAGGGGCATCACAAAAAGCCTCGTCTCACGACTGAACCTGAAGCAGACTTTTTGGACAGTATGGACCCTGCTTTATTTAACGGGCCACCCATATCTCCTGTAGCTGTCATGGATCAACCTGGTCAAGCTAATAGGGACCAAAGCGTGGCACAAGACGAAGCAACTGACAATGCTCGGGATGCATCAGATGAAGCTCCAGCTCCACCTAAGAAACGGGGTCAGTTGTTATTTGATGCGAACGAGCCCGAGCTTAGGCATGCCAAACCAACAGCATCCTACGTTGAGGCTGAAATGGATTCCGATGAGTTTGACGAGGAACAAGTGCAGCAAGCAGAGGCTCCATCAACTCAAGGTGATGCAGTTGGAGCTAAGAAATCGGCTGTCGATCTAGCTGCTGATGCAGTTCGTGCCCTATTTGGAACATCCTCATCCTCTAGTCCACAGCCCTTTATCGAGGCGGATCTAGCCTCAGCCACCGAGACTAAGACTCCCAAACGGCGTGGTCGTCCGCCCAAGAATGCATCCTCTGTCACGCAGTCCACGCCTCCCGGTTCATCTCAAAGGCCCAACTACGGGCGAACAGGCCGGCCCAGAGGCCGACCTCGCAAATCACTTCTGTCTCTGGTTGCAGCTGCAGACAATTCAACTGAGATCATTTGCGAGTCTTCTCAGAACCAAGACAGCGATAGCGACGTTGAACATGAGAAAATGGTCCGTGAGTTGGAGGCCAACCTCGCTGCAGACTTGACTCAAGGTGTTTCGGAGGCTACAGCAGAGCCTACTCAGCCTCGACGCCGAGGAAGACCAAGGAAATCCGGTGTGGCTACCATCGCGGTAGCTTCTACCCCTACTGATACATCTACAGAAGACGTTGAGACCGAGAGTCATTTCTCTAGGTCTGCGCGTCGTACACGACGATCGGAGGGTGCTATCAACCAGCCCAGTCGACCATTCATCTCGCCTCCACCGCCATCGGCTGGTGGGGCAGGTACACATCTTATGTCTATGGCTGAGCGAATGGCACTTAAAGGAAAGAAGTTCAAGATTGGCAAACGAAAGTCAAAGGGTGTCTCTGATAGTGCAGCTGCCACACAGTCAGAAGCCACGACTCCCACGCCAGGCGCTGAGGCTCCCAAAGAGGTAGCTGACGAACCAATGGCGGATTTTGAAGAAATAGTCTCTCGTGATCCGAGCCCCCACAGTGAATATACCGGCGGACAGTCGCCTCAAGTCTGTGTCGATCATGAGAGTTCGCGAAGTCCTTCAGCACCTCCTCCCACCCGACGACCTGCACAACCAACCGTAGTCCGAATTGGTGACACGGAATCGGAGGCAGGACAGAGTGACTCTATGACGGGATCAGACTCAGATAGCGACGGCGACATTCCTGCAAGACAAAGCTCTGGCCGAGGGGGTGGCCGTGGTCGTGGGCGTGGCAGAGGGAGGCCAAGGGGTAGAGGAAGAGGGCGTTAAGGCGTGCAGAACATACGCAGCATTTTGATTTCACCAACACATTGATACCTATTAGAACGGCACGTGAACTTCTTTGTAGCATATATTCTCTTCTCCTGCTTTGGGAAGTAGTAGAAGTCACAATAATCTTTTTGACATACATTCATGGCTACAATATGTCCTATGATCTACATTGCTGTGTGAGTGTACTCTTATTAATAAGTGTAGCTAGTATCAGGAGTTTAATAAATCTAACTGCTTCTCCAAATCATGCCATCGCCCATTTCGCTTGGGATCTAGTTTTCTCAGATCGCTCAGCCAGGACGCGACCTCGGTCTGTTCGTCAGACCCAAGCGGCTGCCCACTAAGTTGGGCCAATGCCATCGCATACTCAGCGAGAGCTTCGTAGATCCGTTTGGTATTACGGTAATCTTCTAATAGGTCTTTGATGTTGGTCATTTCGCATTCAATATATGATTTGCGGTCACCCAGTGTGAGGTTTGGGGCTATTTGGCGGCTAGAAGTGGGATCGGCCAGATTCAGGACGAGAAACTGGTGGTAGTACCACAATGACTGATCTTCAGGTCCTACGTTCAGACCTTCGTCGACAAGTTCAAGTTCTGATCCCGAGTCAGCGATGTTAAGTAAGATGTACTGTCAAGACAAACCTTGGTCCAAGAAAGCTTTGCGTGACTCGTCGTCCGCGTTACGTTCGCCGAGAAGCCTCGTTATAAGCTGGCTACGATTATGCCACGCCGAGAAATTAGAGAGATCCTCATGGATCTTCTTGGTGGTATACAGAAACTCGGATTCGACCAAGCTCTGGCCATTTAAGAGAGGGCTTTCGAGCTGCGCTACGACGTGACGACGGTAGCCCCAAGCATGGAAATTGCGCCGGTCCTTGGTAAGCATCTTACTAACAAGACTCAGCTCCTCCTCCCAAATGCGCCGGGCTATAGATACATCGAGCCTCTCGATTGCGCGGTCAAGTGTCCAGAGTCGATAGTTCCATATCCAGTAGCATTTAGGAAACTCCAGCAGAAGGGGAACAGTGAAAGCCAGCTCGGCGCGGATGACTTCGGCGTCAGTACCACTGTCAGTTGTTGTACCAGTCTTCCCAGCTGTCGGGGGGTTGGGGCGTGGCCGGGTCTCTGTCGAGGATGAGGGCGACGAAGCGGCGGAAGAGGTTGTGGGAATGTCGGTCGCTATAATATTCTGCGACACCTTCGAGGGCGGCGATCCATCCGACGGTTTGGATAATAAGCCAGAGATTAGACAGCGCCTGCGGGCGTTCCATATCGTGTAATACTCTGGGTTGAGGCGCAGGAGCTTCGAGGTGAGCTGGAATGTCTCGGGTCCGTAGTGGTTGTCGGATATCTGCTCGCGCGTGTGAGAAGAGCGTGGTGTTCCAAGCATTCAGATGTGGTGCTGACCTTTTCGCGAATTTGGTCCTCGAGGTTACGGTACGTTTCGATCTTAACCAAGTCCTGTTTCCGCTGCTCTTCTGTCCGAGACCGCGCAGTGCGGGCTATGCCGTGCTGGAAGCCTTGAAATCAGCATCAGTTACAGTATACATGGTGTTGTGTTTTAGGAGAATGGACACTAACACTGGCCATATTGAGGCGTATCCTCTTAATGAACTGGCCCCGGAAGTCGCCAGCGGTGATGATAAGTGTAGGTTTGTAAGTGTTCACTGTTACTGGTGCGGGACGTGAATATGACCCCACGTTAAGTACAAGTATAGGGTATCTAAGGCAGTATGACATGAACAATTGCCTTGGGTTATTATGTGAATATAGCTACCTATTGCGGGCTATTACCTCTATCTCTATTCAACACAACGTACAGTAAATTTAAGATGACGATGAACATTGTTCCATGTAAGCCAGATATTCTGACGCTGCTGTCCACTTAGTGAATGGCTAAAGACAGAAACATCGCTCCCACAAAGCTACTCGCAAACGCCACTTCTAATGAAAACAAGATGTGAGTGTAATATTTTATTAGTGACTGCGGCGCGTCTCGAATTGTCTTGCACGACTAGGTACATCTTAATACGAGCGAACGGTACCTTACTTTCACCAGATATTTCGCGGTATTGCGTTTAAACCTACCACTCTCGGTCCCCTAATCACCAATCTCGAGCGCCGTGTAAACAGGGATAGCACAACGACTATGTATTGTCATGTCAAGGCTAAATTTGATCCTGTGACCTTGGAGTTTCATCACTATATGCACTTAATAGAGTACGAATTACTTACTTTGGGTGGACAGGCTTCCAAGCTGAAACCTGCAGTTGTAATCTTCGAAGAAGATCTAAGTATAACTTGTTGAACATGAATACCAATGTCAGCGGCCTTTATATGTGTGATGCAAAATGAGTTTCCTTATTCTATTCACCTCTACCATCGATTCAGGAGACTCTCCTTCCCGCCAGACTGTGCAGACGTAAGAAAGGAGGTCGAGAGTCATGTGATTTCAGATGCCGTCGCCGTTCGTCGTAAAGAACAACAGGAGGCAATTAGTTGTTACTGAAACTAAAGACATTGGTTTCATGATAGTTAATACTGGTGTGTTGCAGTATCGACTGACACATAGGACACATATGTGACGCAGCGACCTCCTGTACGTAGGTAGGTACCTATACAGCAATTCTATAAAGCAAAATCGGTACTGTTTATGACCTTGAATCTCTGTACAAGCGCTTGCCCCGAGCGATTAGTAGCGGGCAGTTATATAGAGTATGTATTCTCCTCTTGCGCCTTCCATCCTTTGATCCTTCCTTATCTCTTTTCTACTGCCTCTTCTTCTACTTCTTCTTCTTCTTCTTCCTCTCTCGGCCTCGAAGATAAACACTCTAAAAATTCAGCGAGAAAAGAACGAGAAAAGATGTGCACATCTATTCGCCGGTCATTGGCAGCTGTTGCCATATTTTAAGCTACCCTTTGCCTTGCACTCCTCCTCAGACGACCACCTTGTACGAAAGAGATGACCCAACCTACTAAAAACCATGTCAACGCTGTTTATTTTACCAACTGGTTTGCGGAGTATTCTACAGGTACTAAAATATCAACTGACGTATTACAGGGGCACATATGGAAGATACTTCCAGCCTCAAGATCTTCCAGCTTCCCAGATCACACAAGTACTATTTGCCTTCTTGAATGTCAAGCCCGATGGGACGGTGTTAGTTCAACCACATTATGTTCGAAAATATACTGACGAGATCCATAGGTATTTAGGAGACAGTTATGCGGACTTGGAGAAGCATTATGAGGGAGATCGTGAGTTGATGCCCCCGTCCTGTTTTAATATATAAACAGGGAAAAGGTTGGGATGACCAGGGAGACAACGCATATGGATGCTTGAAGCAACTCTTCCTGTTGAAAAAAAGCCCATCGGCATCTCAAGGTCATTTTGTCAGTTGGCGGATGGACTTGGTCGACCAACTTTCCATCTACGGCCAGCACCAGTGAAAACCGCATTAGATTCTCCAAGTCTGTTGTCGCTCTGATGAAATACTGGGGATTCGACGGAATCGATATCGACTGGGAGTACCCCAACGATGAAAATGAAGCCACCAACTTTGAACTACTACTACAGGCTGTTCGAGATGAACTTGACTTGTATGCCAGCCAAAACGCACCCGGCTATCGTTTCCTGCTTTCCATTGCCGCGCCCGCTGGTCTCGACAAGTACAACAAGCTTCACCTTGCCAATATTAGCAGATTTGCTGATCATATTAACCTTATGGCTTACGACTACTCAGGAAGTTGGGACAGCACCAGTGGCCACAATGCGAACTTGTTTCCTTACCAGGCCAGTGCGAACCAGTACAACTCGGACGAAGCCACCAATGACTACATCAATGCTGGTGTTCCGACAGAAAAAATCGTGCTTGGTATGCCTATCTATGGGTGCTCGTTTGAAGGGAACCTAGGCATTGGCAAATCCTTCAGTGACGTTGGGCAGGGCTCTTGGGAGAGGGGCGTTTGGGACTACAAGGCGCTACTCAAGCCCAGTGCAGAGATCGAATATGACAAAAAGGCTCAAGCTTACTATAGATACGATCCTATCACTCACGAATTGATCTCCTACGATACGCCAGAAGCGGTTGAGAACAAGGTGGACTATATTCTAAAACATGGCCTTGGGAGGAGCATGTTTTGGGAGGCCTCAGGGGATACGAAGAGTAACGAGTCGCTTATCAGTACAAGCTACAACTTTCTGGGGGCCTTAGATACATCAGAGAACTGGCTGAACTTTCCAGATTCAAGATATGCAAACATTGCTTTGGGAATGCCTAATCAGCGGGCACAAGTCTGATCATGTGTTGCAACATACCGATAAGGCAGCCTGCAGCTTTACTCTGTTGCCCTATTCATGGAGAAATGGGAGCCTTTCGAGATAAACATACCTAAGTAATGAGATCAGTTTTACTAAGCCATTTTGTCTTGTCATTAGAGGCAAGTTTCCGGTTACCAACGCTTCTGTCTGACTTCAATTGCTGGCATGAGCTTGAGTGTATCACGGGTCTAGTAATCTCAAAATTACCCCAATACCTACGAAAGGAACCATGAATCTGGCCTAGAATATGTGCCGGGGCCTTCTGTTTGACACTATTAGTTACCGTTCAGGATGTTGATTGATGTTCCAAAAACTCAGAAGGTACTATGACAGATCAGTTGTAATCTGAACCGGATGATAGACTGTAATAGTAACTCACTAACGTGATTATGTTTGTTTGCACTTTCCATGACTGTCATGAGAATGGAAGGAAGCGAGTAATTATAACTTCAACGAGCATGTGCTACCTTTTTGTGCTTCTTGTGCATCAATCTCAGCCTGTGGCATGACTCCTTCCCCTCCGCAACCACTCCTTTTAACCTGTTCACCCTAACCTCTCTTCCCTACAAAATTCTTTCGACAAGCATCAATACTTTCCACCATCTGGCCAGACAGAATAACTTACTGTTAAGTAAGGGGCTATCTGTCGTGACAGTATTGTTCAAATCATAGATAGAAGTTCATTCGTTTCTTTATGCTCTATACTTCAAGGGAACCCACGACTCCTCGCCACATCAACATCGACAAGAATGTTTCAGATGCCACCTCGCCGTCCCCGATCTGCTCGACGGAAGTGCGACGGAGTTTTGCAGCCACCAAGTCCATCGGATTCTGGGTATAGTTCCGCAGAGTATGTTTTCGAATACTCGCACAATACCCGGAAAAGATACTTCCATTCTTTCGATGGTTCTGGCCCAGATGGTACCCCTATGCTGAAACTACTCGGGAATGAAGAGCAAATACCCCCTGCGGCCAAACAGAAGGAGGTCCAGGATGGAATTCCTACAACACCCGAGCATAATCATCCCAGGCAAAAATCAAACGTTGTTTCTCCCTTCATTTGTCCACAAAGTCCCAAGCGCTTGCCCCTGCAAGATAAAAGAATTGACCACAACAGAAGCCTGGATAGATACGTTCCAAGACGTGACTTCGTATCTCCGTCATCAGAAAGATATCGAACTACCAAACAGAGTCAGGATCTGTCTAGAGAAGAGCGCTTGAAGCGCAACAAGAGTGCCTCGGCCGATCCCTTTGTTCTCAAACGTCGTGTTCTGGACCCTGACCCACGTTTTCCTTTCAGAGTTGACGACACCTGTCGAGATAGAGGTTAGAAGGCTGATACATTAGTATTTCTGTGCTGACATATGTCTTTCCTGCAGGTGTAGCTTTGGGCCAGCTCCCACAGAACCGAGGAGGCGAGCGTCAGGTTAGCATGGGAGCCATGTGGTCAGTTGGAGGTGTTGCACCCAGCACAATTGCAGTCGATGACGGGCAAGGACATTTCGTCCGACGTGGAACAAATGCCCGCTTATTTCCCACCCCTTTGCAAGAAGGGCTTGTCAGCACGTCGGTCGAGAAAGAGAAGCATGAGGGTCGCATTGCTTCAGCTCTGAAGATCGATCAGGTTCGGAAGATCCTTGAGTTCGCAGAGAATCAGCAGGTACCCCGAGACCTAAGATGTCATGCTCGGCAGACAGAGTTCAGTCAAACAAGTTGGAATGGGTATCGGTGGGCCAACAAAGAGGAGTGGTCAAGTATGCTCGATATACCGAATTTACTGAATCCGAGGCTAACCCATGACAGCCCCCATTAGACCAGCAAGACAACGACTTCTCCCAGCTGCTCCGTTCAGGTAGGTGTATCGGAAAATCAAAGACACAGTGAACTGACGTGCTCCAGGGTGCTTGATGCGCCGAACCTCAAAGATGACTTTTACTGCTCACCATTAGCATACTCAGCTACCACGCATATTCTAGTTGTTTGCCTGGAAAGTATGCTCTATGCTTGGTCCGAGTTTCGAGGCGTTCAGTTGCTCCATGGTGCTCATCCCGACACCTAGTTGACGTCGGTCGCCTTCTCGTCAACGCAAGGAGGCAAAGCCGTGCTTGGAATCGGGCATTCTGATGGCCGGATCCTTTTCCAATCCACATTCGACACACTGCCGCGATTCGAAGTTCGCCAGGCGTTTCCCATTTCTTGCGTCAGCTGGCGTCCCACCTGTACTCTACGACCTTCCAAGAACCCTCTCATCCCTGGCGTTCAAGTACAGACAGAGGATCTGGTGGTTGGTGACGATATGGGTAATATCTATTATTACGTGGTAGAGTGGCCAATAGGCTGGGAAATCACCCGGAACACATGGCCTGGTGCAGTATCGTTGATAGCCAGGATCAGCAATATTCACTGTCAGCAAGTATGCGGTCTTGCATGGTCATATGATGGTCGTCTATTCGCCTCGGGGGGTAATGACAATCTTTGCTGTCTTTTCGATGCTGAACAAGTTGTTGGACGACGACTTGACTCTACTATGCTAGGGGATGGATATCGAGCGCGTGTCGAAGCTAGCAGCGCCTATGGTGGTATTGAGACAAGAGCCACACAGCTGATAGGTCTCTCTCGAAGTGATGGTGGTTACACGGCACAGTTGCGATTAGTGCCAAATGCCACTGATGCTGTCCGTTGCCTTGGCCCTGGCATTGCGAAGCATTACTGGAGCCATGACGCTGCTGTCAAGGCCATAGCTTTTTGTCCTTGGAGGCGTGGATTAGTCGCAACAGGAGGTGGCTCTAATGACAAGTGCATCCACTTCTTTCACACTCCATCTGGGGCAGCTTTGGCAACGATATCAGTATCCGCCCAGGTCACCTCACTCATTTGGAACACAACCCGCCGAGAGATTGCGGCCACATTCGGTTATCCTTCGCCAGAGCACCCATATCGGGTCAGCGTTTTCAGTTGGCCCGAATGCAGACAAGTTGCAGCAATACCTTGGGAGGATGGATTGCGGGCTCTTTATGCTATTGCTTATCCTCGAGGGCCAACTTCGGGCGGCCCAGCTGTCACGGGAGGGGGACAGGAAGGATGCATTGTTGTTGCATCGAGCGATAGAAGCATTAAATTCCATGAAGTATGGTCGCGAGAAAAGGGCGTAACTGTAGGCGCTACCGGCATTCTGGCGGGAAGTGATATCCTCGAAGGGCTTGAGGGCATTGACAAAGAAGGAGATATTATCCGTTGAAGTGTTCCTGTTCGGCTTGATCTGTACCTGAGGGTGAAACGTCTGGGCCCATGAGTAATGCTAAGCATCGAAGACTTTGAAGCTGAGAGAATGACAATATGATACGATGAGAATCCTGACCTGATGACTATTCTTGTCAAGTTTTGTTAAGAACCACTCCCGCACATATGTACAGATGTATAAGAAGCCACCCGTTTCCCTGCAAGTGGTATGAAAGAACAAGACAAATTATTGACGTGACAAACCCTGAGCAACGCCCATACCAAAGACTCCAAGAACTCCAGCTGATGCGCTTCGCCGTTTGTCACTTTCTGAGACAAGCAACGAACAATTCAATCATTTCAGGATAGCAATCAGAAGCACGAGAATAATTATGAGAACTACAATGGTGGTCATTTGCTTATTCTCGCCTGCCCCGCGAGCAACCTTTCCGAGCATTCGACTTGCGCGGTCCAACCGGCTTTGATGACGGTCGGTAACAGCCTCAACATCATCGAGCATAGCAACGTGGCTGTCAAGCTCGTCGCCGATTTGCATGCTCAGTTCGCGCTGGCGTCCAATAGACTCGCCCAGGCGGTCGAGCTGCTCGTCTTGTTGCTCAAGAATCTGAGCGTGGTACTGATGAAGCTGCTGGTTGTCCATTCCTTGAGATTCATCCCTGTAGCCTGCGCTGTCATCGGGATCATCGCGATAGCGGCCAAAAAGCTCGGTGGATGGGGAAGGCGGAGTGTCACTGAAGCGAACAGTTTTTGGCTTTCGAGAGGTCGGTGATGTAGAAGCTGCGTGTTCAAAGTCGTCGGCAAGTTCCTCTGAGTTGGGATGGGTGAGGGTTTCAGTTGTTGAGGAGGAGGGGTGGCCTCGGAATTGGGCTGTAAGGTCGTCTAGTTGCTTCTGGAGCGAGGAGATGGATTCTGTGAGGCTCGAGGCAGCACTGAAAGTGTCAGTCACGATAACAGCAGTACGCAAGGCAGTCGGGCATACGCTGTATCACCAGCTTCGGCGAGCCGCTGTTCCTCGTCGCGGAGGCTGGTCAAGCCATCACGGAACTGGTCAAAAGACCGTGAGATGTGGCCATCCTGGGAGTCGCCGTCGAGGTTGAGGTTCTTTGCTCGCTGTCGCTCAAGAAGTGAGAGCTTTATATGATCGGCGAGAAGAAAGAGCTGGCTTGCACTCGACATTGTTGACAATATATTACGATGCGATGGTGGTGGATTAATCACGAGAAGAGCTCTCTGATCGGGGACGTGCAAACAACGGCAGATACCAAACAGAACTATTGCGACAGGCAGCTAACTACCTTGGCAGTTAGACCCAGCACCGACGTAAAAGAGGAAATAGCGGAGGATCTTTGCTGTGAATCAACGTTGCGATGATGGTGATGATGATGGTGGAGAAGTTAATTATCCCAAACCTAGATGCCTCTACAGGTACCTGGTGGCTATACAACGTACAGTGCCGTGCAAAAGTCGCGACTAGGACCACAAATCTCACCAAAATTTAGCACTTTTAACGCTAAATAAAAAGTACCTATAATATAGCTATAATTATATAGTATTTTTTATCTTATATATAATTACTATATAAGTACTATATGTTTTTAAAAGAAGCTTTAAATGTGAGAATAGAGTAGGAAATTATTTTAAAGATATAAAAACCTTATTCCCTTAGAGTTTCCCTTTTAAAAAGGGGAATTTCTCTTTAATACTTATTTCTAGAAGAATAAATAATAAAATCTAATAAAACAAAAATTTGTAATTTTCTTCTTATTTCAAATAGAAACCCATTTTTTTTAATAAGCTTATAGCTATATTATAAGTATTTTTTTATCTAGCGTTAAAAGTGCTGAGTTTTGGTGAGATTTGTGGTCCTAGTCGCGACTTTTGCACGGCCACTGTAGGTGCGGGTAGGTAGGAGATGTGGGTGAGTTGGTGTTACCTGAGCTTCGATCAAAGTATCACTTCAACCTGGGCGATAGTACAGTCGCTCAAGAGACTTAAAAAAGTTGCCTTGACCCTTCTTTTTGTAAGGTCTCTGGGCCTTTCTGATCTATCTAACATTGACCCGAGGTACCTCGATTGGCTCAATTAGATACAGGCTTCCCCTGAGCCAGCACCACTTCGGGGCAGGTAAGTAGGCTTCCGTTTAGAGGCAATATCGAAAGCGAGCTTATTTACCTACTAGGTATGATACAACTCAGTACGTTCAGGATGAACAAGCCCTGTCAGAGCGCAAGAAAAGAAGAAGAAAGGGGAAATTTGGGTTTTCCATGTTCCTCATCAGAGGGAAATAAGGGCCAGAAGAGCAAGACTAAATACTACTGGCTGTCCGTCCGCCTACTAAGAGACACAGGCCAGCAATATACAGCCGTTGCCAGGATACTACGGAGTAATTAATGCCTATGTTAATAGGTAGTGAGTGTATAGTAGTGATATGCAGTGCGTCGTATAGTAGGTGCAAAGTATAACTTGGAACCGTGCACGCCAACTTTCTATTCAATTCGAACACCTACTTAGGCCAGAGAGTATTCGATTTATTGCTGCAAGGGACTGTCTAATCGCACCAAAAGACGGACCGTTTTAAGTCACCCGCATGTATCCGTATTGGCGTCTGAATAGTTTGCTTGTGTGTTCCGCATTGTTAGTGGTTGGTGTTATGATGACCTGCATCGTATCCTTGGACAACTGTTGCGGTCCAATGCATATGGACATACCGGCATTGGTCCACAATCTAAACCACGCAGGAGCGCGTCGCAACTCAGATTTCTTGTATCCGTTTGCATTTTGCACTCAACCCGGCCATTCTCCTAATCCCAAACTGAACAATGATTGTCAGTCTTTAAACAAAAGCATTGGTCAAGCGAGGCGTCGCGTAAGCTCTTGCTCGCGAAAGCAAACGCCAAGAATCAACGCGTATCATTAGTGCGCTCCTCCCCATGAACAAATGAGAAGCGTTTTCGGATCCTCATGACAAGCATGTGTATTTGTTTTAAGCAATATTGTTTACAAATGTACAGAATCACGTCGTGCGGCATGCAGAAAAGCTTTTGATGAATAATGTAAATTGCAATCAAATAATATCAAGCCAGACTGTCCGAGTCTATGGCGTTCGCTCTTAGTGGGCCTTTCCTATCAATCCCTAGGCTCCTTTCCCAATCCCAATCCCAGTCCTTAAGCATGGCAAGCCGTGAACTCCGTGTAGATAGCAAGCGAAAACAAAATGCAGTATAGGTAAATCGACGTTCTCGACTAAGGTTTTTTCTTTCAATCCTTAGTCCATTCTCATATCCATATCAGGGACGGTATTGGCAAGTCGAGGGGACTCAGCGGCGGAGAGAACCTCCATACCATCAAATATAGGTGGAGAGCATTGTAGGTTTTGAAGGGCACCTTCGGCTGTCTGGCTCACAAGCTGGCCTTGTCGCAAGTTTTCGGCAAACAAGAAAAACCCCTCGTTGGCTTCCACAAGATATGATTGCAGGCCGTTGCTCTCAAGAAGAATTCTGGCGTTGGACACGGGGAAGTGGTTTTCTATGTAGCGAGCCCAGCCTCGAGCGGCTTGTTGAATGTGATCTTGTTCGCTGATCCTTCGCCAGCCAATGCCAAGGTGAAGAGTGAAGTTGTCAACAACGGGACCCTCGGTGGCAGGCTTGACATCGGCCTTGAGGGAAGAGGCGCTGGTTACAGGCTCGCTTGACAAAGTGGGAGATACACGCTGCAGCTTGGGGTTTCTGATCAAGGAGCGTGCCTCTTTGATGGCGGCTTCCTCAGCAGCCTTCTTCTCTTCCACCCAGGTACCGGACTGGCTACTCGCATCCATGACATAGCCGGTGCTCTTTTTGACGAGGGTCATGCCAGGGCCGTAGATCCATTCTTCTTCAGGCTCCTCAACGGGCAGGGACTTGATGTCAGGCTCAAGGTTGTCAGAAGCCTCGTCCCGAGAACGCTTTCTGCCAGCTGCAGCGGGTCGTACAGGCTGAGCGGCTGCAAACTGGTTTGGCATAGGTGCGAATCGCGATGGTGTGTGGTGTCCAAAGCTTGCCATGCCCATGGACTGGTGGGCATGTTGGGGAGACATGGTAAGGACAGGAGAGGAAGAGTATTGAGAGCTGAAGTACGACATTGTGAAAAACGTCCTTTTTGAAAAGGAAGAAACTGGAAGTGATTTTGGGAGGTTAGTAGTCAGCAATGTCAGGTTTCAAACCATCTATAGCGTCTTTGGTGCACGCGTTGGTGATGAGTTCCGTTGACTTTGAGAGACGGCAAGATGGACAAAATGGGATGAAAAGAGAGTAGTAAAACGCGGTTTAAATGGCCAGCGGAAGAAGCCAGGAGTAAGAGGAGGATGTGATATACGCGACAGGCGAGCGTGGGCAAGCTAGGTAGGTAGGTACTAGGAGGTAGAGTGAGAGAGTTCGTGATAGAAAGGAAGGTTCGATTAAGAGATCGAGACGAAATTGATGTATGTGATGGGTGAATTATGTGAAAGAGGAGAGAAGAGGGGGAAATGAATAAACAGAAGAAGGAGGATTAAAAGCTGTAAAAGAATGCGAGGGGACGACTGGTAAAAGAGCCTGTGAGAGCGACGGGAGAGGAAGAGACGAGAAGAGAAGGGGCGTGAGTGTGAGTCCAGTGTGAGTGGCTCTTTACCCCAGGTTGAAGTGCACTTTTTACCACCCACCCATGCAGCCTCACTCCGATCTCTAACAGCTATATAAAAGTTGGCACTGTACGTTAGTCTCACGAACGGCAAAATCCGTAAAGAGGTACTTGAAAGCAATAGTGCTAGAATGGAATTCACTGGTAACCCTTAACAATGATCTGTAGCTAACTCGGCAAGCTGCAGCTGGGTCCATGCTAGACAGTAAGCACACAGTAGCACGCCATCAGCTTATCGCAAACCTCCCGGCCCTTAATGAGGTTTAGCTTGGGGCTAGAGCAACTTGCAGTTGCAGCGTCAGGTACGTACCTGCCGATAGAAAGCCCCATTTAAAACTGCGCTTGACCCCTTCCAGGTTGCGTAATTGTTAAGGGTCCCATCCCCGTAACGGGAATAGCGTCTCAGCGGGTCTCGAGCATCTCCCGAACGGTCATCTGGTTGGGTGGCCAACGTTTTGAACTTTTTCCAGTTGCCCCGTGCCACTTTGAGCCGAGCCCGTAAGCCCAGCTCCGCCAAGTTTTTTCACCTGTGATCCGCTGTCGCCATTGACCAATCTAACTCCGAAGATATTCCAGGCTGATCCACACGCCTTCCGCCCAGTCCGAGTCAGTTTCAGTCACTTTCAACTTCGATTGGGCACAGGCAGTACGTGCCCCCTCCGAGTCTGTTTGCATGTACGTACCGTCCTTTGAAACTGCTCAAAGGTGAGAGGTGAGTGGAGACTTGATTTTTGTGCCTGAGGTTAGTAGCCAGGCACGTCCGCACAAAGTTTGCCTACTGGAATTTTCGTTGCCGCGAGAGACTGGGCGTTCAGCCACCATGTACCAGTTGCAGCTGGAGAGGCCAGAGCCTGGAGTCAGCCGGATCAACGACCAACAGGACATTCGGTAATTGTTTACGAGGAAGCCCTAGTTACTGAGAGACCGCCCGTCTGAAACTGCACACTCGATGGAATTTTGATGTCATTCATTAATAGAAGCTATGATGCGAATGTTCTAGTACATACTGCTTCAGTGATCATCCATAGGTAAGCTGGCCAGGCCCAGTTGTCATGACATTATGCTTGATTCATGCCAAACCCATCTTTTCTTCCTTGCATTTGTTTGCCTATACTGTTGATCGCCTGACATCACAATGCATCTCGGTAAATCAAATATCGTCAGTGTTTTGTCTGTCTTCGTGTATACCGTGCAGTTCTGGGCCTAACCCTACCAAGCCAGTATCGCGTCCAGCTCGCCTTCGTCTTACGGTAACGGGTGCATCGCCCATATCGGCCACTATGCGTCTTCCTCGAACTGGCGCCGTATAAGCTCCGTTAAATCGGCTTTGATGACGGGCCTCTGGCAGTTGCCTTGGTGTTTGTGGCTGTCCATTCACAGGTAGAGCATCGCTGTATACTGACAAATTCCTTCGTGGGGGTGTAACGTTGAGCTCTTCTGCAATCATTGAGGCTATCGCCTCGACATCCACCGGGCGATTGGTAGTTTCCAAAGAGGAGTCCTGATAACGGTCGTGAGTAGATCCTCGCTCCGAACTGTGCGTTGGTACCCCAAGCTTGGACTGTCAGTCAGCTTGCTGTTTGCTCATTTACCTTAGTGACATAGCGTCTTGATCTCGCTGCAGGTCACAACGAGCACTTGTTGGTGCAAAGAATGACACATCCCAACCAAGGGGCCTACTTACAACTGTCGCAGGAAGTTGCTGAACAGTCCTGCCATCGTCGTCACCTTGCTGGATAGCATGGTTGATCATGTTGGCGAGCCGTGAGCGAACAGGTAATCGAACAGCATCTGCCTCTCCATCGATATCATTTCCAGCCAACGATACTGGAGAAGCCAATTCCTCTTCTCTCGGCAATGCATCTTGGGTCAACGAGTTACGGATTCGTTGTCTGCTAGTTGAGTCGGTATCTGGTGTCTGTATACGTGTGTTCATAGCAGGTTCGAGGCTGGTTTCCTCGTTTCCTAATGCAGTGACGGTCCTGTATCTCCTGGTTGCGAGGTGCTTTCTGTAACGGCTTCGGCGTTCGGCATCGGTTATTTCAGGCGCCGTAATGATGATTGTGGTAGGCTTTAATCGGAACATGTTGATAACCTTGTCTTCGCCACCCTGTTCCAGTCATCAAACTACAATGATGTTGAGTTGAAATCTTCTATGTATGGGACAGTATTGGTTTTGGTTGTTTGTTCCTTACAAACATATTTCAGCGATTTCCTCAGTACACCTGTAATTCAGTGCTTGGATCATCATCGTCTGATCGGGCAAGAACTTCCCACATCGCTACAGGGTAAGTGCGGTCGTCGCGTATCTACGCGCGACCTTATCTTTAGAAATAGTATCTGGCGTGCCGGAAGGATAAATGACCAAGAATAGGCGTGGTAAATGTAGGTAGATAGGCAGCAAGTGGTGAGAAATTAGACAACATAAGTATGTTGCTTTGACAATATGAGAGATCCTCGAACTACACGCAACGGTTTAAACTTATTGCACACATCATCGTCGCTCTGCGGCTTGTGGAAAAGTAAAAGTGCCAAAGAAGCAGTCTGATTGCGATGACAAAATATTCTTTCTCCCTTTCTTCATATTCTCCCCCCTTTTAGACCATTACAAGCATTATTATCGAGGCGAAATATGGTGACGATTTCCAAGGGGATCAATTGGCAAAGCAAGTACTCTGTTGAAGAATTCCGTGTTAAATTGCCTACCCGAGATAAAAGACCTTTTTATGGGATAAGCTCGGGATAGAAATCGATCGTATGTGTTACGCACATGACAAGTAGTAGCTTATCTTAGTACCTCTCACGGGTATCTATTTTAGGTATATCTCGTAGATGTATCTGATACGAACTTGGTGGGAAATGTTGATGAGGATGGAAGCCGATATACCCAAGAATCGACTTATAATTCGAACGACCTCCAAAAAGAGATCGAGAAGTTTGGCCCAGCCGCCCAGATACTGGAAGCTTCAGCCATTGTTTAGCGCAGTGATAGTCAGGTACCTGATGGATGGGGCCATTTGCGGCTCACAAGTGATGTGCACCTGGAGCACCCGTGAAATGCTAACTTTGTATTGGAAAGTTATTCAACATGTCATCGGCTTCTGCACTTATCGACCAGGTACTTAGCTAAATATAGGTTATCTCACTATCTATTCTAGTACCTACTATATGGGTGCCTGTGGAATATTTTGATCTTCACTTGCTAGATATGGATACATGTTTCTGGATAATCAAAAGTTAGTACTAACTAAAGGAGTGCTTCTACTTCGCTCGTTCACTCCCTGGTACACACGCGCTTAAGTATCGAGCAAAACCTCCAGACATAATACAAGAAAACCGGAAGTTCGCTGGGTTCTCCTTTACTGACCCCTTAAGTTTAAAATACAAGGTTGGCGACGGCCTAAGGCGTCCGTCGTCTTTCGCTTCTCTGTACACTCGTAATCTTGAGGTGGGCTGGTACTGAGCTGGGGTAGCCTCGTACCTCAGGGAGCGGAGCGGCCAACCTGCCTTAGGTACTGACTGTTAATGGATCGCTGTTGGCCTGGCTGTGCTCCAGGTACTTTTTTTACTCAGACAGGTCTCCATAGTTTACAGCCCGCCTCCCGTACAGTACAACGCAACGCAACGCAATGCAGAGCGAAGCAACAATCCGCCTTTTAACAATTTGTCGCTAACCACCTCACCTACACCAACCTCGTATCTCACCTTGACATCTCTCGCTCTCAACTCCAACGTAGATTGTTCAACACCGGTGATGCTCCAGGGTTCAAGCCGCCGCCAGTGGCCGACCGTCCCTTGCTCACGACTCGCGTTTCTCCTCCCCGTGCGAGTCGAGCTTGAGCCTGCCCACTTCCCCTGAGCATCTGCCACAAGGCTTCTCCATCGCCCACCATGAATGGGGACCTGAGCCTTTCTCAGGCCCTAGGCGGACTGCGCATCGCCAACCCTGACGACGCCGCTGAGGCTGTTAACGCTTCATCAACTACTCCCGTTGGACCCGATTCTACTGCTCAAAATACGTCCCTCTCCGCATCAACGTCAACCTCCGCCCTCCCCTCTACGCCTCAACCAACAGTCACATCGACAACGCCCTCACCTTACGATGCCATTCGTCTCGACCCTATAGATGCCGGCGTCGAATCATCTTTAACCGACCCCAGACTCACCCCATCTGCTCAGTCAACCGACCTTGCTTCAGAAACAAGCCCCTCGAACGGTCCTTCGCATACATCATCCCAAACGGAGACCTCAAGGACGTCCATTTACGGCATGCCCTACGCGCCAGAACCTGGCTCCGGTCTCTCTTACCCTGCCAGGGAGTCCAGCCGACGAGATCCCCATCGCTTTAACAAGTCGAGTCGACCAGTATCAGGCTTAAACCCTGGCGGCAGTCCGCTACCACCTCGAGGGAGCTCAAGAGGCATGGGTGTAGGATACGCAGCCGGGCCTGGTGGACCACAGACGAACCAGCCATACGCTGGTGATGCGCCGGTTCCCACCAGTAGAGAAGACTGGCAGGAGCGCGGAGCTGCTGTAGGAGTTCGGCGAGAAGTTGATGCGAATGGGCGTACTGTTGTCCGACAGGTCAAGAAGGGCGTCCGCGACTTTTCCTTTGGACGTACTCTTGGAGAGGGCTCGTACAGCACAGTATTCATGGCGACTGATCGGCAAACACTGAAAGAATACGCCGTCAAGGTACTTGAAAAGAGACACATTATCAAGGAGAAGAAAATCAAGTATGTCAACATTGAGAAAAACACCCTCAATCGACTTACCGAGCATCCTGGCATTGTCCGATTATACTACACATTCCAAGACGAGACATCCCTCTATTATGTTCTCGATCTATGTAACGGCGGAGAGCTTCTTGGTGTCCTGAAGAAGACAGGCACTTTCGACATCGAATGCACTAGATTCTACGGTGCACAAATTCTCGATGCCATTGATTACATGCATTCTCGGGGTGTCATCCACCGAGATCTAAAACCCGAAAACGTGTTGCTGGATGATCAAATGCATGTCAAGATTACGGATTTTGGAACTGCTAAATTACTGAAGGACCCCCGAGAAGATGGGTCAACCGCATCTGCCAGTGGTGTTCCTGACCCAGGACGCGACGAAGATAGCCGTGCGGCATCGTTTGTTGGCACTGCTGAATATGTGAGCCCTGAACTACTTACACATAAGAATGCTTGTAAGGCTAGCGACTTGTGGGCATTCGGATGCATCATATACCAACTCTTGGCTGGCCGACCACCTTTCAAAGGAGGCAGCGAATACCTTACCTTTCAAAAAATCGTTAATCTCGAATATGAATTTCCCCATGGGTTTCCGCCAGCTGCTCGAGACCTCGTGGAGCGTTGCTTAGTACTTGAACCTGCTAGGCGACTCACCGTTGAGCACATAAAAAACCACGAGTTCTTTGACGGGCAACCCTTTGGAAAAGGTCTCTGGAGGACAAAAGCACCTCGCTTACGCCCTTATGTAGCACCCCCGCAAGAGCCGCAGGTCATCCAGCTGAACGGCTTTCCCAACTCTGCGAACCCGAACAACAACTCGAGAGCACCCCCTGGGCCTCAGGCTGCCTCTTCTAATGGGAGCAATCGGCCTTCTAGAATAATCACCGAACTCCCTCCCCCCACACAACTTGACATTGAATGGTCGCCTGTGTTGACTAAGAACAACGAGCGCATTCTCAAGCTAGGTGACCTCATGGTGGTCTCGACGCCTTTGCCATCAAGCCCCCACGGAAAGGAACCAGGAGAAGGACATAAGAAGTTGTCTCGTTTCTTCATTGGAAGCACAACAAAGAAGCGCCAGCGCCTGGTCATGATTACCTCAAGCGGTCGAATTGTGCTTGCTCCAGCCGGTGGTGAGGAGAAACGGGCAAAGCAAGAGCTGTCCTTGCTAGGTTCAGATTGTTCCTGGAAGACTCAGGTCGATGCAAAGGGGCAAACCGTATGGTGCGTCAATACGGTAAGCAAAACCTCCCATCTATGGATACTTCGAACATTATGCTTACAATCACATACAGGGTGGTCACCATTATACATTTGAAGAGGCCAAATCCTCATCAACTCCACCGGAAGGGGGTTCAGCCGCCGCTGATTGGGTTGAGTGCTTGGAGCGGGCCAGAGATATGGCGCTTTCTCAGAGCATGGCCACTTCCTATGGAGGCGACAGTGGATTTGCCGACATGGCGTCTCAAGTATCGAGTCCTTCGAGTACGTTAGGGGGGCCGGGCAACTATTCTGAAGGGTTTGGAATAAGTGATCGACAGGGACGGAACCATCTGAGTAAGAATCAGGGGAATGCTGAAGATCCGGCACCTAAGCGCAACCGGTTCAGCAAGAGACAATCAAGGAATGGTCTCGGCTCCGCATTCTGAGGAGTTACCGACGAAACTGCATGGATAAACTCGAGGTGCTCATGAGTTGTGGACTATTCCAGTCGATCTCATTTGGCATTTGACCCCTCGTCGATTACATCCAGTAAGTTGATGGCATTGAGAGCGCGGCGTCTTAATTGAGGAGTTTTAATCATCTGAGCGGACTGGCCAATGCATTGTTTTGGGGTGCATTTTATTTGAACTGGGGGACTGGAAGGGGAAGAAGGGCACAGCAGCTACGCGGTTGTTGATGGATGAATTACATGGTCTAAGACTTCTAGATTTCAAGGAGCTCAATCACTTCACCCTATGGCTATATGCAAGCGTTGGGGAATTGGCCTGCTTTTTGCTTGGTGCCTGCTCGCGCAAAGCGTTCGTGGAGAGGAGCGCAATCTTAGCCCTCTGAACCTTTTGAGATGAACAGCGCCGAGGACCCGGTATCTTCTAATCACAATACAAAATAACACGTGCTGGCGAAAAGAGGCCGATTTATAGTCGGATCACTGGTTTTACTTTACTTAAATGCTCTCAACAATTATCACAATTCCTTGATAGTTATAGAGGGGTCTCTGATAGTTGAGCACTCGATATGCGTAATGTGTTCAGGTTCTAGAGTGAAGAACCTACCTAATTATTAAATTGATTGTCGGGGAGATGTCAGATCCCTTAAAGCTAGTATGAGCCACCTTCTTAGTAGTTTCGAACCACGACTTAGACTACATCTTCAGTTA